AACGAATATGGAAACAATATTGTAGGTAATCTGATATTACCCCTGGAACGCTTTCATAATACACAAGATCAGTGTGCATAGCTAGTCCTCCATTTTTATAGGCAATAGTCGTTAGATCATCACCTTTATCAGTATGTATTTTGAACGTAGATCTATAAATTGAATAAGCAGAATTAATCAATTAACTGTATCTACTTTTATAGATAAAAAATATATCAGCATTAGATTTTAATCTGCACGCACACTTTTGGAATTTAGTAAAGAGATTGTCATATCGTATTGACGATTAAGATAAAAATGTTTAGACGTGAATTTATTTTCGAGATCACTGAGAAAACTAACATCATTTATTTTATATGAATTACAAGTAATTCATGTTTATTATGCCTACCCATAGCATGTCCTGCGAAGATATGCTACCCTATTGACGAACTTTTTGACTTGACCGATGTCTTCTGGCAAACCGACGAGCAATGAAATGCCTACTTTTAACATACAACGCACCCATCGATGTAATTCTGAATCGTCATTTAATATTTTATTATAATCGAATTGTGGTAAATTGTTTTTCATTTCGCTACCCCATAGCTGTTTGGTAACTGGATTAACTTCAATATCATCATAAGTGATAGATCGATGAGCTTTTAACCAATCTAATTCAAAATTACTAGTTGTATGTTCGCCATCGTTTATCCATTCTAAGTATAATTTATCGTTTTTATCGTCTACTCGGGCTGTCTTTATTGTTGCATTAGCATAGTTGTGATATACAGCATTCGAGATAGAACGTTGTTGAGTTTGAGGATCGAAGCAAGACGAACAACGACAATTATCGCGAAGAAAGATATGGGGATAATTTGTAGTTTTACCATCGTCCCATGTTACAGATATTAGTTTATCTTGAACTCGATTTTCAACTTGTATCGAATAATGTAGCTTAGGAGATGGCCAATATGGGCGACGAATCAAGTTGGAAGAAGAGTATTTAACTGCACTTCGAGATCGCGGAACAAACTGTTGATTATTGTAGACGAAAACATGGCCATGATTTAATCAAAGATATTGGACTAAATTTAATGTCGGACTGTTGTAAATGAATGAAGGCTAGAATTGCAACCAGATAAAGGTTAGCTACTTCAAGATTATAAACTGTAATTTGATTGTCGTGGATGCAAGGAGTTGTAATAAGTTATATTAAGCAAATATCTTCCTATTAGTAATTACCTGATCTTGTATACCGTAATTGCCAATTATACATGTATAATTATCATTAATAAATTGCATTATCTGTCTCCCTACTATCTATCTAATTCTGATTCTATTATAGCAAGGTAAATGCAATTAATACTGCATAACTATATTTTTATTATTTTTCCAATAACTTGACCATGAATATGTATAGGTCAATGATCAGATAAGGCTGCATTCGTCTCTATTATAATATTGTAGATTTTTAATATACTTTAAACCACTAATAATGATGCATACGTGCATATGATATAATGACTGTCACAAAACAGCTTTCGTGATCGTACCTAAACTAGTCTATCTATTCTTATGGTTCTCCGACTAACTCCGGAGGTCCTCAGTAAGGGAAAACTAACTTATTCCTATACTATAGTAATCGAGCCAAACGATAGG